TATTAATTTAGGATGTTTCTGTAGACCATGTAATGAGATTTTCCTAACCTAACCTAACCTTTTTTTTTGGGTGGGGTGGAAACCCTCATGGGCGCTGACCGCTTGGTTTCCATCACGAGTCAGTAGTGTCGGACTCGTACCGGCTAAAACCACCCCCTTGCCCTCTTCCGTACCCGAAACTATCCGAAGTACATAACACCAGGTACATGCGACGCTTTTCATTACCTTTGCTCCCTAGCTTGTGTTTCGAACATCCTCTCCTCGTTTTCTTTTTGTCTCATCGTCTTCTCCAAATACTTCGCTCCTCTATTCCACTGGCTGTGACTATTTATCATCTTTTCTACAAGGTTGTCGGGGTTAATTTCTCCGAGTTCCATCTCCAGTTCATTTCTCCCTCTTTCTCACCTGGGGCATACGAATAAAGTGTGCTCGGGGGTGTCGTTCCCCTCGAGGCAGAAAACGCATTTACTATCTGGTGATTTTCCGATTTTACAGGTGAATGCTTTGAAGGACCCGCGTCCACTAAGAGCTTGGCTTTTGAAGTAGTTTGTCGTTTTGTATTTACACTCCACCCATCTATCTATATTTGGGATCAAGCGCTTGGTGCATTGAGCTTTTCCGGTGTTGTTCTGTCACATTTTCTGCCACTCTAATATTGTTGACTGCGTTACGTTTCATCAACCCTGATGCGCTCTGTCACCAAGAGATCGATGGGTGGGATCGCCACTATAACGTTGATTGCTTCGATGTAAACCGTCCTATATGCCATTGCCACTCTCAGTAGCATTCTTCTCTGTGTCAAATTTATCATCACTTTGTCCCTCTGTACCCGCATTACTCCACTCCATATCGGGACTACGTACAGAAGCACCGACTGTATTACCCCGTACATCACCCTCCTCTTCTGTACCCCTGAACCCCTTATGTTCGGCAGGAATTTGGTCAATGTCGCCGTTTGTCTATGCGCTTTTCCACATATTCTTCTAATCTGCTCATTTCATATGAATTTGTCGTCCAGATAAACACCTAGGTATTTAACGTATTTTCTATGCACTATCTTCGTTTCTTGCAACTGAAAGAGTACGTCATCTCTCTTTCTAGGGCCCTTTAGTATAATTGCCTAACCTAACCTACCCTGAAGCTGTGTTTCAGCTGTTTGCCAACACTTTGTCGCTGGGCTTGCTGTTGTCTTCTCAGTTCAGTTTCTAACCTAACCTGACCTAACCTAAAAATGACAGAAGAAAATAACAATAAATATTAAAAAATTCCAAACAGCTGTCAGATGGATTGAATTGGATTGGATCGGATTGGATATTGTCGTGACTGTGAATAATACAGTACGGCGGTATTACGGTACTAAGGGTTGGAACTTCATTATAGTCTAGTTCACATTTACTTTTTTTTGTAACATTTTTCAGCTCTGTCCAAAAATTACGACCAAGATGTCATTCGATTCGTATTTTTGCCTAGAAAGTTTGAGGAAAGGTCCGAAAACGCGTCGATAAAAATTACAAAAGTTATAAACAATTAA